TGTGTGTTTATTTTCTACTGGAAAAATTTCAAAATTTCATACATTCCTTGTCAAATTTCTGAAACTAAACTGAAACGTCATTCTTATAAAAATTTCTTTACAAAGCAGTTTACCTTATAATCGTCGTCGGTGGTGGCCGTCGAGCTACCGCTTTCAAACATGCAGCCACTGTCCGATGCCGACGAGGAAGTCATACCGCACATGGACACTGAATACCGAGTCCTGTTCGATGGACTGTCCATCGAAACAGATGGTTGCCTTTGCACTGCTCCATGCGACAATTCTACTGTTGAATTGCCGTTGCTATCCAGCAGTGACCCATCCAGATGATGCTAAAAAGCACAGCAAAATTCATTTGATTTCTCCAGCCAGTGATAATTCTCGACGATTTCATTAATAACAATTGTCCAACGCACGGGCTGCCAGCGCGAAGATGCGTTTTTTTGCATAGTTCCCCGAGTTTTTGTCGCTACAGGCACCGGTTTTTCCGGCAAATGCTTCTAGCTAAACAAATTAAGATTGGCGGCCAGAGCTGTCGGGAAACACCCCTCTAAAATTTCAGCTTTCTAGCTTTCCTGGGTCCTGAGTTAGCAACCTACCCGAAAAAAAATTTGGCGGGCCCGTATGTGGGTACCACGCGTACCCGGTGTCTGTATTTGAGCTCAATGAGACTTAGGTGAACGGGGAATATCCTCTTAAAATTACAATCCTTTAGCTTTTAGAATTCCCGAGTTATAAACTTAATCGAAAAAAACTTTGGCGAGCCGGTGCGTGGGTATCACGCACACCCGAAGCTGGGTTTGAGTACATTAATATCACTTGGACGGGGAAGATCCCTTTGACATTTCAGCCTTCTAGCTTTTCAGATCCCTGAGTTATCAACTAGCCGAAAAAAATTGCACGGGCCCGTACGTGGGTACCACGCTTACCCGGGGGATGGGTTTGAGTGCATTTACACCTACTTGGATGGGGAACATCCCCCTAAGATTTCAGCATTCTAGCTTCTCAAATTCCCGAGTTATGAAGTTACCCGCAAAAAACTTTGGCGGGCTCTTACGTGGATATCACGCAGGTAATGGCGCCCATTTTTGAGATTGGGGTCCGTACGTGCATGTCGATTAAGTTTCCAAGGTTTCATCCCTGCAGCTTTTATAGGTCTTGAGATGAAAAATCGGGACAGACGCACACACAGATACATGGACACACAGACAACCCATCGTCAATATGAGCTTTTGCATTGCATAGATGCAAAAAACGCATAACAAAAATCTAATTAATTTTGTTTAATGAATAACAGCAAAACAGCTTTTCTCATTCGGAAATCCATCTAAAAATCATTGGCGACGCACACCGGGCGGGCCCGTGCGATCGCGCGTTTTTTTGCAATATTTCGTGCTGTAATGAGATAGCTCGGAAACCCAGTAGCTAGAAATTTGTGAAATACTGGCCCTCGAAGTCTGGGAACTTAATCTCCTACGCGGTATTTGGACAGCAAACATTTTTTTGAAATTTCGGCTTTTAAAATTTTCTTCTTGAGTTAGCAATTTTCCTGCCGAAAGTATTCACGGTGCCGTACGTGACGACCATGTATGCCCGGGGGCTGAATTTGACAAATTTAAGTCGTACATAAGCTGGGAACATTCCCTGAAAATTTCAGCTTCCGACTTTACTGATTCCCGACTTAACCATTTCCGCGCCAAAAACTTTCACGAGGCCGTACGTGAGAACCACGTACGCCGAGGGGCTGAATTTGATAAATTTAACCTGTACATGTGCTAAGAACATTCTCTGAAAATTTCAGCCTCG